CAGTTAATTACATTATCGCGAGCACACGCGTGTCGCAGTATATAGAGAGGGGGGTTTCGAAAAGGGGGGTGGTTGTCGAAAAATGGAAAATGATTTTCGACAATTTTTTTCCTCTCGTCCGGACTCGTTGGGTATTTTACGGGGAAATGTTATCATGCAGTTTTAAGTTGCCTGTCTCCCATTTGCTTTTACCGGGGTATTAAAATTGTAATATTTTTCCGTCAATTCCGGAATGAATGCGTTATCAGTCCGTTTGACTGTTGTTTCATTTAGCTCTTAATTCTTGGTAATTCGATTGATGACAGCCGCCGATGATATTTTTTGTGGGATCAAAAGTTAAAGGTAAATTGAGGGGCGCAAAAATGTTTCCTCTTGCATATTTCTATGTTATATAAACGTATCAAGTTTCAAATACGTATATTTATATTAAATATCACTACATAGTATAAAACAAAGTCACTATCCGCTGTCTGTCTGTCCCTATGTATGCTTAGATCTTTAAAACTACGCAACGGATTTTAATGCGGTTTTATTTAATAGATAGAGTGATTCTTAAGGAAGGTTTATATGTATAATACATGCATATTGCACCCGTGCGAAGCCGGGGCGGGTCGCTAGTGAATTTATAAACCTCTAATTGACATTATAATAACTACTCAAAATGTCGTTACAGTGATTTAAACATCGTTATTTAATATTAAATAGATTCAACTGCATCATTATTTAAATATACAACAATAGCTCGCAATGATATTAGCTGCAATGCAACGCCTTTAATTGGATTCGAACCTCAAACGGTACATCCGTAGATTTACTAGCAATAAGCAATGATTAAAACTACTAACTTAAGCTTTCAAAGTTAGGTCATATAATATGTAAATTTACAACATCTTTCAAAATCTATCAAAGGTCAATAAAAATAGTTTTGTGGAAGACTTTACAGTTAGTAATCTAAAGGTCATTGTACCCCTAACACGGCTGCGCCACGGCTCCAACCCAGCAAATAACTTATCATTTAAATATGAACTTTAAATCGTATGTCGTATGACATGAACATACAATATGAACTAGGTGCTTACACCTAGTTTATATTGACTTCAAATTGGTTTCAATCTTTTTATATTGTTTCCAAAGCAAAAAACAGTCGTACCGGTGCCGTACCGGTGCCGTACCGGAGCCGTACCTACTAGAGCCGTGCTTGTTAAATATGTGATGATCTCATCTCTAAGCCACTGCAACTTTTAGGTTTAACCTAGAACCTAACAGTCTAATCAAATACGATTGAATCTCAGTGCCTCGGGGTCAGTCTCTTTTAAAGTCTAGACGTATCTAGGTAGGTACCACCCTAAAACACCGTCATCCAACATTATACCTACCTAGGTACACCGAAGCACAAACACCAAAATCAACCCTAAAACGCTACAGGCGTTCACAAGCATAGTGCAAGTTAACCCTTCAACGACACACGTATACGGTATCAAATATGTACCAGCTAGCTGATAGCAATATTCACCTCACTCAAAGTGAAGCTTAAACCGCTTGAAAGCGATTTAAAGCGGCTATGAAAACAATAGTTAGGTTTGATATGGTTTCAGTTATTAGTGGTGTCATGACGATGTGTTTCGTTCATTGTGTTAACAGTCCAGCAGCTGTAGCCAAATACCATTTAGCGCTTGTCTACATGAAGAATAGAAAACCAAATTATATGGAATTGACGTAAATTGACTGCCTCGTTGGCCGAGTGGTCGCAAGTGCGACTGCCGGGCAAGGGGTCTCGGGTTCGATTCCCGGGTCGGGCAAAGTATTACTGGGTCTTTAAAAAAATTCTCAGTAGTAGCACGGAGTCTGGAATTGTGCCCGGTATATGGCAATAGGCTCCCTCTTACACGGGACTCATAACATAAATAGTGAAAAGTGGGTGTTACATTGTACAGTGGCATAATGTGCACCTCTGCCTACCCTTTCGGGGATAAAAGGCGTGATGTTATGTATGGCGTAAATTTTGACACTGGTCAGTGTGATCCCCATACATTTAGTTTTCTACTATCTTTGTAGACAAGCGCTAAAGTGGCGTTTGGCTAAAGGCACTGTCCATGTTGAAACCTTACGGCGTCATTAGAGTAGAGTAAGTCTACGAATACGACTAAAGAACTGTACAATTGTAGATATAGACTGTGATATCTGTACTTCTTAAATTGCGATCTAATTGTCTTAGAGGTATAAGGCTTAAGGTTTTTAAGGAGGTTTATTGATGTCAAATCTGGTACCAATGTGACTTTTTCCGAATTATATGTACTTTCTAAGCTCATTTAGACATTATAGACAAACGGTGAAGGAAAACGTCGTGAGGAAACCTGAGCTTATAATTTCTAGTTATAAGTTTGAAATCGCTAACCCGCATTGAGAAAGCGTGGCGATTATTTTTTTATATTCTCAAAAACAATTCTTCACACTAGGATTTTTTCCTGTGTATTATACTTCCGCCGCTTGAGGTTCTCGGCAGCTGCTGCACCGTCTCGAGCTGCTGAGCTTGGAAGATGGGATGGCGCAATAGTATCAACGCAAGTAGCGTCTCATACGAAAAGCCTACCCATCTTCCAAGGGAATAATGACATACTATTAGGTCTCTTACCATTGTCGCGTACCAAGTCATTAGGTTCTATTTTCATTGTCTGTGTTTTCTTACATATAACATTAATTTATTTTTAAGTTGTATATATTTAATCTTACTTTCTTTATAATTAAACGATCCTCAAACGGCTAATCCCTAAAATGCCGATATCGCACTTGTAATGCTTCCGGTGTTCCAGGTGTCCATGGGCGACGCTAATTGCTTACCATTAGGTGATTCGTCTGCTCGTTTACCGGCTTATGCCATAAAAGAAAAGATTTAGTTTAGATTTAGAATCTTAGAGTTTATTATTGGTGAGAATTTAGTGGTCTACAAAATTGTCTGTAACACCATTGAGTCTAGACTTGTACGCTAATGTTTTGAATCCCAAGTTGTAGAGGGTGAACCTAATTTCAAGTTATAAGTGTTGAGCCATGCTTGAAGGCGTTGAGGGCACGAATGGGCCGGCTGGACCGGAGTATATACAACAGCATCACAGAAAACCGACGTGAAGCAACGCTTGCGTTGTGTCTCGTTGTGTGAGTGAGTTTACCGGAGGCCCAGCTCCCTCCCCCCTTTCCCAATCTCCCCAATCCCCGAATCCCCGAATCCCCAACAATCCTCAAACTCATAATCCTCAAAAGGCCGGAAACGCACTCGTAAGAAAAGAAAGAAAGAAAGAAAGAAAAACCATTTATTTCTGCGCAAAACACACATAACATAATTATTTAAAAAATAAAAAGAAAACAAAAAAAAGCTAAAAAATTAAAATGAAGTGAGATCTTGTCCATGGTCCACAGACTTATTATTTTACTGAAATGATAGAATATTTAATATCTAATATTATCTGTGTAACACTTCTGGTGTTCCAGGTGTTCATGGGCGACTCTGATTGCTTATCATTACGTGATCTGTCTGCTCGTTTACCATACGTTTGGCATATGCCATAAAAAAAAAGTTCCAGGCACAATATCAGAATAATAAGTACTGAAACATCGAAATTATATAAGCGTACTAGCTGCACCAGGCAAACTTTCTAAAAATTTTTCTTACCTTTTAAACCTCTCCCGGACTTTCACGAACATTTTAAGACCAAAATTAACCAAATCGGTTCAGGAGTTCTCGAGTTTTAGCGGGACTTACGAACAGAATTCATTTTTAATTATATAGATTCCTTTAATTTTAAAAGGCCGGCTACGTACTTACTTGCACGGTTCCCAACTTAGCGGGTTTTCCCCCCAGTTTTAGGGGGTTAATAAGCAAGATGGGATTTATTTAGGGGTCTGAAATTTTTAGGAATAATTTCATGGATTTTTTGATAATACTATGTACTATTTTGTTTCTGTAACAAAGTGATTATAAGACCATCTGAGGCGTAATCCGATAGTTTCCAACCAGTGGAATTCGATTCTTTTATCGAAATCTAAACAAATATGAATTTTTTGAATCACTATGAATGTAACTAATTTTTTTTATTTTTAGAGGGACAACAGAATAATTAAGGATTTTAGGGGTTTTTGACACAAGCTTTAGGGATAAATATTTTTGAGACTTGATAGCACTTCGTACTTGTACATGAGCGGCACTGATGGCTTGTTATCAGGTGGTCAGAATGCTCGTTTGCCTCCTATCCCAAAAAAATATAACGATCTCCTGACTTTAATCGGAAGAATTAGATATTTTATACCTCTTTACTTCTTCGAATATAAAAATGATGTTCTAATACTTTTTTAATGTTTGCCATCAGTTTCATAAACTTGCTAATCCTGCCTACCCTATTTATGAAAGCGATCTACAGAAACAATGGCGACACGTATCGAATTGAGCTCGATTGACTCTCGTTTGATGTCCGAGCGAGACACGTCCATGAGAGGTCATTGACATCACACCCCGAATCATTACCTCTGTAGGGGTTTAAAGGCTAAACGGGGTGATGATTTTGATGATTTTAGGTAATTGAGCTGTTCATTTCAATAATGTTTAGAGAGTTTAGTGAAATTAATATTAACGTCTCTTTGTTAATGTAACTGAATTTGGAGAATAATTTCTTTCTGCAGGTCTTTTCTTAAATAGTATTTGCGATCAACAACGAATTCTAACAAGATTCAGTTTAATTCTAGTTCCTATTGCATTATTATTACATAACATAACATCACGCCTTTTATCCCCGAAGGAGTTAGTAGGTAGAGATGCACATTACGGCATCTAATGCCACTGTACAATGTAACACCCACTTTTCACTATTTATTTTTTGAGTACCATGTAATGCATATTATTATAAAAATATTATAAGGGTGATCTCACTGACATTGCAAACCGCAGTCTAAGATCCGAATATCGCACGATTCTTGATGAGCAGGCAATTTTGTCGAAATAAAACCAATTTTTTCTACACACCAGTATATTCATAAATCCATTCTCTGATACCCCTATCAGATATGTTCGTGTAGACGCCAGGCATACTCCTTCCACAGCCGAAGCCGAAAGATGAGAGACCAATCAGTCTGCCGTTAGAGACTGCTGCGCCACCACTGTCACCCTGGAATGAGAAGTATATCCTTACTAATATTATAAATCAGAAAGTGCGTTTGTTTGTTTGTTTGTTTGTTCCACTTTCACGCCGTAACTACTAAACCGATTGCTTTGAAATTTTGCAGACGTAAAGTTAAAAGTCCGGATTAAATAATAGGGTACTTTTTATCCCGGAAAAATTTGGTATTCCCGAGGGAAAACAAAAATATTTGTATAGATGGCGCTGTGTATATTGTATATGTCACATAGGCTACTATTATGATTTTATGACGCGAGCGAAGCCGTGGGTAAAAGCTAGTTCGTTAATAATTATAATAAACCTTGTCTTTTAATTTCCAAAGAGATAAACAAAGGTATACTCACTGAGTACAATGTAAACCCATTTTACACGATTTAAAAAAGAAAGTCTTCCTCGTTGGCCGAGTGGTCGCAAGTGCGACTGCCGGGTATCGGCATAGCTTTTAATATATGGCATTTTATATGGCGTATGGCATAGATTTAAAAAAAAAATCTCATTGGTAGCACGGAGTCTGGTATTGTGCTCGGCATATGGCAATAGGATCACTCACTATTACATATTTAATTAAATTATGGGACTCCTAACATAATAGTGAAAAGTGGGTGTTACATTGTACAGTGGCATGTGCCGTAATGCGCACCTCCGCCTACCCCTTGGGGGATAAAAGGCTGGTATGTGTATGTGTGTTAAAAAAGAAAAATAGGTGGTTTTCAGTTTAGTCATTAACTCTATTGTACACCTAGTGCAATTTCATACTTCATACTATAAACGAAAAAAGAAATAAATCTTTGCTTTAAAACAGAAATCGTACCCAGTAATCCTTGCTTAGCAATCACGATACTTTGCGACCTCTCGTTCAACGAGACAGTAAAATTTTATTTTAGTAAGAAAGTAAAGATTTAGCCCTTTCTCGACCACAGTAAGAGATTAGTTAGTCCTTCTTAGGATAACCGGGGCAACTTACCTGACAAGCATCATAGCCCCATCCACCAGCGCAGAACATCCTCGGAGTCAGGGTATGGTTGTACCACTTATTGTTCACCTCCTGGCACTCCTTCATAGGAAACATCTTGATCTGTACTTGCTGCAGCTTTTCGATGTACTCACCCTGGAATGATGTAGAAGATTTTGTTAGTACCCAACGGCATTTTAACGTGCCTCACCCAAGGATTTCTTGTAGTCTTCATCCCAGATTGTGATCTAGAACATCAATTTGTGGATCACACCTAGAATAATTTGTTTAGTAGAAACGAAATAGCAACATGTCACGTATCAGGTCGCCTAGTGACTGCGACAACCATGCATTCATTATCATTTGAAAAACAATTCAATACTATAGAGGTAGTATTGATATTATACTTTTACCGAACGTAGGTGGGAAATCATTATTAATAGTCAAACTATTATTATTGTCATCATCAGCCCCAACAATCCTCTGCTGGGCTGAGTTGCCTCCACGTAAGAGGACTTGAAATAATTTCTATGCTTTGCCTGTTTAGTCTCTTAATATTTTTTTTTACCATCACGTCTTTTATCACCGACAATGTACAATGTAACACCCACTTTTCACTATTTATGTATGTTATGAGTCCCATGTAATAGGGGGTTAGCCTATTGCTATATACCGAGCACATTTCCAGACTCCGTGCTACTGCAGACTGAGAATTATTTTAAAAAACCCAGTAATATTTTGTCCGACCCGGAAATCGAAACCGAGACCCGTTGACTGTCTTCTCTTAATACAATATTGTGTAAAATGGCCGGCTAAGCACTAGTAACATAATTGTTTGACGCTTATAACTTACCATCAGGTGATCTCTGAACGCATTTAACCCTATCTATAATAATACAATAAAGACAGACCTTCTCCGTTTGAAACCCCCAGCCAGCCACAGTGAGAAATTTTCCAAAATGGTTGCTCATTTTTATAGGCGACACCAGTTTAGTATAATGAAGAGGTCGAAGGAGTACCAGAAGCTGTATGTCATAATCAAATTGATGCCGGAGCTGGTACTCAGGATGTATTAAATGCTTGCTGATGATGATCTTTGCACCTTTTAGACGGTGGCTGCTTCTGACCCTGATGTAGTAGTGGGCTATGCTGAAATAAGGTTTCAGAAGTAATCAATAAGTATTCTCCAAAATCTCCAATCAAAAAAAAAATAAGTGAGGGAGAACCATGCTTCGGCAGGAATGGGCCGGCTCGACCGGAGTGATACCACGGCCTCACAGAAAACCGACGTAAACAACGCTTGCATTGTGTTTCGTCGTGTGAGTGAAGTTACCGGAGGCCCAATTACCCCCTCCCTAGTCCCCGTCTCCCGAATCCCCGAATCCTCCACAATCCTCAAATTCTCAATTCCCAAAAGGCCGGTAACGCACTTGTAACGTCTTGGTGTTTTGAGTGTCCATGGGCGGCGTCAATTGCTTACCATCAGGTGATCCGTCTGCTCGATAACCGGCTTATGCTATAAAAAAAATTTCCCCATCTCTAAATCGAACAATCCTCAAATTCCTAATCCCCAAAAGGCCGGCTGCTTCAATCTGGTGTTTCGGATGCCCAGTGGCGATGCTGATTGTAGCTCATCTACCGGCTTATCCCATAAAAATACCTAATATCATTCGCTTGGCCGGACAACCGGCTGCCGCGAAACTAAGGAACTCTATGAGATCCGCTAATTCTTGTTTCGGATCTAGGTGTTATGTGTATTTATGTGAACTTGTATTTTTGTAAATGCACCCACGACACAAGAGGAAGTTCTAGTGTGGGTCAACGTTCTATTTGATAGGAAATATTCTACATAAGACACTTCTTATTAGATAAGTTGTGAGTTATTTTTTTTTTTTTGTAAACGTTGCCCCACACTAGGATTTTCTCCTGTGTCGTGGGTGCGTTTACAAACATACAATATCACATACACATGACACCCAGACCCGGAACAACAATCTGTGGATCACACAAAGAGTTGTTCCGTGCGGGAATCGAACCCACGACACGTTGCGCGGCAGCCAGTAGCCCAGCCACCGCGCCAACCGTGTTCCACAGTGAAGGTGAGCCTTTTACCATACACCTGAAACAATCCCAGATTCTCGACACAAAATATTAATAGAGAGGATTCTCCGAGAATCAAAAACTCCTTTAGCACATCACACTGGCTATCATTCCACTGAGGAAAATAAGTTTTATTGAACTTACCCACAATGTGCAGACGTAACCGCCCATTTTTTATGAATTAAAGCTCCTCCACAAACATCACCATAGTTCACTTGGTAAGGAGCATTACTTATTTTAATCTCATAGCCACCCATGATACTGAATCAAAAAAAAAAATAATCGTAAACAATAATTCTTCTTCAGATTTTGTATAAATCATAACATCATAACATCACGCCTTTTTATCCCCGAAGGGGTAGGCAGAGGTGCACATTTCGGCACTTAATGCCACTATATAATGTAACACCCACTTTTCACTATTTATGTTATGAGTCCCATGTAATAGGGGGTGAGCCTATTGCCATATACCGGGCGCATTTCCAGACACCGTGCTACTACTGAGATTTTTAAAACCCAGTAATGCTTTGCCCGACTCGGGAATCGAACCCAAGACCCCTTGCCCGGCAGTCGCACTTGCGACCACTCGGCCAACGAGGCAGTCTGTATAAATTCTATTTCATTATAATGCCCTGAATAATTAATAGATCTTGCTAGGTATATAAAGTTGTACTATTTTTCCGACCAGAAAATCAACTCAGAATCAGTACTCAACATAGAAAAAATCCTACAAAACCATTATGAAAACAATAATCTACAATTATGAACCCTAATTCAAAACAGATAAAGATTAATCCGTGTCAATTTCAACATCGATTTTTGACGTCATAGCTACCAAAACACATTAACTTACCAACAAACAATAACAAGGTTGGTTAAAAACAATATAAATTCGAAATGCATTAGTATTAGTGCACGATAACTAATTTGTCTAATCACAACTCAATTCAAAACTATTGATTGAGATTCGAGCGAGAAATTAAAATGCTCTTCGTAACACAAAACACGTGTGATGTCATAAAAATTTTGGTAATTAATCGGTATTGGTACAGCACATCAACGTATACTATTCCACCAAAATTCTTTTTACAATTTCCAGCTTTAAAACAAAAGTAAATAGGTTTAATATCTACTGAATAGGTTGGACTACGTTGATTTGTTCTTATATCACATACACATGTTTAATGAACATTAATTAATTATTAAATAACATTTTATATCACCATTTCCTTTTCTGATAAAATCTAGTCTTAGGCAGATACGTAGCTGCGGAGAACGTAAAAGGTTGTTAGGATTTCGGCTCCAAGCAAGAGCAGGAACGGAGTAGTTTTCAGTCAGTAAGAGTCTGATATTCTTTCTCGCCTCACCTGGGCGGGGGAAGTGATTCGATAATTTTTAAAAGCCTTAGGCATGTGACCACCGTCTTCTTTGAGGTCACTGGTTCTCATTCTATGCACCTGTGGCCCCAAAGGTTCGCCTGCAAGTGATGCAGATAGGATAACAGCGTGATAGTATCGAGTCAATTGCGACCACGACGGCTTTTATGATCATGATCGGCTCTTCTGCGATGCCACTCTGCCACCTCTTTTTATGATGCATAACAGTCTCTAAAAAGGAGGTCACTTTCATTTATTTTTCTCTTTCTGCCAGCATAGCTTTAACTACTGCTGGCAGAGGTTTTGCCTAATCCTAGTGACCAGAATCCGCCGCTCAGATACCATCGCTAGGTACTCTTTGACCGTGTGAACTATGCAAAATCCATTTCACCACCATATTGGTGATAATACAGGACAGGGTTCTCTTGGACAGGGTTAAATTCAAGTATTTATCGAAGTGACAATGTCCAGTCAGCACCTGAGTGTGCCTGAAAGAAGATACGTTCTTTTCTTTTTAATTAAGTTTCAAAGTACGGCAGAATGGCTTCGACAAAGCTGTTGTTGCTGCTCACGCCACCGCTTGAGCGCGTGCCAACTTCTTGCCGCTTCAACCTAAGGAACCTAAACGTCATATCGGTTAAACGGATAGCACATTTCATAGTGTTCTTTGGAGAATGCAAGGTGTGATGCTGTAACAAGTCCTAATAAGTACCATTGGCCAACCACCATTAGCTAAGTGCCTTACATCATTTGTTACTGAATCATCAAAATTTATTTAGACCTTATGTGCTTGTTGATTCAGTAATAGGAGTAGCAAATGACAAAGAGTAAGAGTGAAATGGTTTTATTTGTCCTGGAAATCCTAATTCCAAATTACTCTTGTACCTGCAAATGCTAATCATCACTTTATCACAGAGGAAAGTGGAAATTGTTTGTTATTCTCCTCTATCGATGGATTTTTTTGTTGCTGAATCCAAAAGGATTTTTTAAGGGGGGAAAATCATCGAATGACTGCTCCCGCCTGGATGAGGCGGGAGAGAGTGTCAGGCTCTTACTGACTAAAAAGCACTCCGTTCCTACTCCTGCACTTCGAGTCGGAGCACAAGTAACCCGTTAGGTTCTCCGCGACATCCAAAAGGGTTAGTCCATATCCCTGGAAGATTGTGTCAGAATGGAATAATAAATTGTTTGAGGTTTTTATGGAATGAATCTACTGTAGGACCTGGGTTAGAAGAGTGGCAACGGTTTTGGAGGGTTGAGACGAGCTAATCCCAATAAAAAAAGTAATGTATGTACCTAAATAATTTAAGTAAATGTTGGTATCTTACTGACATCTTCAGAAGACTTTGTAACGACGAAGAGAAGTTTTTTTGGTAGACTATTTTATGATAATCCCAATCAACTAAAAATTATAAATAAAGCTAATAAAGCTAAATAATCAACATGCCTCGTTAGTCGAGGTGGTTCGTGGTTGGATATTTATAATATTCAATATGAGTTTAAAGATTCCTTTATGGTAAACCATAGAGGAATTTCAAGCCGTGTACGTAGGTACGATATATAGTTACGATGACATTTCTTCTATCAGCATCTGACGTTAATAGGTAACTCAAAATAGTTTGATGCTTATTCTAACCCACAAAATGACTACCACTTTTATAATTAATAGCATGTTTATTGTTATTTTCTTATGTTAAAGAACATCCTTTATAATAAAGAGTATATTGTTTGCAAATCTAGGTTAGATCAAATGTACCATGGTCAGCGTCTTTGTTCTCTTTGAGTCAGTCTTTTAATTCGTTAGCATCATCAGCTGAAAGACGATTATTACTGAAAAAGGCTCGTCCGAGTCCTTAATACCGCACCTTTTTTTATGGGACAAGCTCGCCACAAACTCCCAAAACCGTTTCAACTGCTGTAGCCAATTATTAAACTAAATTAAGGGCCGATTTTTCAATGCCAGATAAATCTTAACTGAGGAACAACTTTCCTTGCTAAAATATATTAAATGAAAGTTTTATTCTACAGTTCAGAATTATCTAATATGATTGAGAAATCGGTCCTTTTTCAAATTAAATGAGTAAATGTAAGGGGAAAGAAAAATAACAAAACACATTAAAGTGAGATTTATTTTCTTAACGAACAAAATATGTGGAATGTTTTCCTGCTTTTTTAGTATAATTTTTAGAATGTACATCGAAAATTTAGCTTCACTAACAACTGACATCATTTTTGATTAGAAATAGATGAAGTAACAATAATTATTCATGATGTTCCTGAATAAATTATTTTCGGTAATAATATCAATCTTCAATCGAATGTGATTCCTGTGGTCTGTTCGATCCATGTTCTGACTTTAGCAACCTTGCTGTATACTCCATAAGATCCGGGAGTGGCACATCCATAGCCGAAAGAAACCATTCCTAGAAGTCGGTCGTATGCTACTGCTGGGCCTCCTGAGTCACCCTGGAAACGAATTTATTCTCTTAAATTTACTCTTTATTAACAAATTCTTAATTACTACCCGGTTTACTGAGACTGACGGACTACTGAGACGGTCAAGATTTTAGCAGTTATTTTGATGATTACTTTTTGGACCATATATTATTAATGTACCATACCGTGTTAAGCTTCTTGAATAGATCACATATTTAGTGGTACCTACGATAATGATATCATAAAATGTTATTGGAATAAAACAATATAATTTTTGGGTTTACCTGGCAAGCATCTTTCTTTCCTTCCGCGTATCCCGCACAGAACATTCTAGCAGTTAAACTTCCTCTGAAATATGGGAACGGCACATTTTGACAGCGCTCTTTTGATATTATCGGCACCCTGACTGCTCGAAGTACGTTTGAGTATGGACCCTGGAAATAAAGATGACATTCCTTATTATGATGATAATAAAATTACAAAACACACATGATGAGAACAGAAATACAGAATTACATTCAAATTAGGGTGTTCCTCAGGGCACTATTTTCGGCCCGACATCACTTTCCAATTTACATTATTTCGAATATTGGTAACTATAATATTTAATAAGTAATAATTACAGAAACAAGTATATAGAGGTAGATGAAGCAGTACATACAGCGCACCGCTAAGGTTTACGAAGTTTGCGCTGTAACTGCGGCCAACTAGTTTATAAAAGATTGTTTCCAATTTGTATCGTTTGACCAGCTAATAGAAACGTGTAGATGGGCGGAACCAATGCGATTTTAATTTACCGCTTGGTTTATGCCTAACATAGTATATCTAAATCGAATCAATCTTGATATGTATTAAATTGAATATTATATTTCAGAATTTCTTTGCTTACTTCACGTGGAGGATAAATTATGGCTTGTTTTATTCGATTAATGTTGTAATTATGTATAATGAAGGAATTTAAATAGTTCAAGGTACTGTATTAGTAGAGGAATGATAGTTTCTAATAAAATTAAGAAGTAAAATCTCATTGTCTAAGTGATGACTAAGCTAATTAGAATTAAAAAATTAGGTTAAAACTTTCTTTTTTTATATTAAATTTAAATATAACATAGCATCGACCTAATTGATTTTTTATGGAAAAACCGGCAAGCACGCAGACGGATAACAGGTGGTAAGCAATTGCCGCCGCTCATGGACACCCGAAACACTAGAGGTATCATGTTGTCAAAATAGTAAATATAGTTAATGTCCAAATCATTTTTATAGCGACTTGAACCCCATATTTTTTGTAGTCAGTTAAATACATACATACATACATAACTTCACGCCTGTCTCCCATGGGGGTAGGTTAAAAACTAAGGAACGCCAATTTCTACGATTCTTACATACCTCTTTCGCTTCAATAACAGTCATCAATCTTTTCATGCATGCTCGTCGGTTAAGGGTACTTTTAATAATACTTGTCGGTTAAATAATCATAAATTTTTACTCTCTCAGATTAGTAGTACTAGTACTTGATGTAAGATTAAAGATCCAGTGGTTTAATTAAAAAAGGTTCTCATAGAGTAAATCTTTACTTACGTTTTCCTCAGTGTTGCCCCAACCAGTAACAGTTATAACTTTCCCTATAACCATATCTTCAATATGAGCTATCTTAATAGGTTGTATGTTCTCCTCAAATTTCAATGGCTCACTTAATTCCAGCAGTTGGAAGTCATAGTCAAATGGATGTTCCTTCTTCTTGGCTGTCCACATTGGATGCACATATCCTTTTTTCACATTTATTTTCTTTCCTTGGTTTATGTATTTTGAACCCGCCCTTATGTATGACTTCTTGCTTTGGAATGAATAATTATATTATTTTTAGTAAACATCAAGATATAACTGTAGAATAATAAAGTTTAAGAGTACAGTTAAGTTGGAATAAAATAAAATTACAAACCAATTGAATAGTTTATAGGTTAATTTCATCTATATATTTCAACTGCCTTCCATCTTTGATTTTTATCAAAGCTACTAAAAGCTAACCATGTTAATGATGATGATGACGATGAGTAACTGAGTTAATGAACCAGTTAAAATATTAAGAATATATATGAAAGAAATTATATTGATAAAAACTAATGCTCATCTCACCCACAATGCCCGGCAGTTAAGACCCATCTCTTATCAATAATTGCTCCACCACAGTTTGAACCATATCCAACATGATAGGGATACAAATTGATCTCAACTTCAAAACCTCCTACAATTTTATCATCACCGTAATTGGATTCGAAATCGTAAGCTCGGAACTCTCCAACCCTTTCTCCATCGTGGTCTTTTCCATATTCGGAACTATCTCTATTTGCTACATCTGTTCCTCTATCCTCATAAGAATCAAAATCGATTCTATCTGAATCATCTTTCTTGAATCTCTTTGAATATCGCTGTCTCTGCATCGGCGAGTAGTTCACATTTTTTGTTTTGATCGGTAATTTCTGTACTGGTATCAATAGAACATCGTACTCTGAAAATAATAGATTAATCACTTTTCTTTGCTAATTGAGAAATTAGAATAGAAGAAAAGTTCTTTTTGCACTGTCCAGACATTCAGAAGTAACAATTTAGTGAAGATTTAGTTTTTATTTGATGCCGATAATGTAATGGGTCATAATCATTCCTTTGCTAAATAAAATGAATGGTTTGGTGAAATCACATTACAAATTAATCCTCAAATATATGGTGTTATATCTTACTGTTATTGAGTTGAATTAATAACGGAGCTGTAAATAAATCAAATACAAATAATAAATACACAAATCCCAAACTAGATGAAGCCACATAATCTGCAACTCTAGAAGAAGATGATTAAAACAACAATCTAAATGATAATACTAACAACAATGACGTTAATAATATTATACAAGTGAATATTAAAATGGGTCAAAATTCTAAAATGGATGTTAAAATCCCAACTTCACTAAATACTTTTGATGAGAATGATGCTAATTTAGATGATAATAATAATACAAAGATCCCACCGAGTCCAAGAACTTCCATTCCAAGAAAATATGCAATGATTGGTGTCATCACCCAACTTAGTTACTATTAAATGACCAAAATATAGATAAACTTTGTAGACACGTACTGTCCAGCTGAGCGGGAATCGAACAGTGTAATAGTACTATCGTAATTAAAAATATATTACACATTATGTTTGAAAATTATCTTGTGATCTTCATCACGATGCTTCGTCTTCGCCACGGAACAATTTCTGATTTTTAATATTCAATTTGAAACCAATGATTGTGAAATTGTTAAAGTTAATACGCCATGAAATTAATAATTCATATGCTGGTTTTCCATTTCTGCGTGAGCACTGTTTCATTGTTTTCTGTAATTGCTACATCGTTTTTCTTTTTCTAAAAAAATACTGTTTTTATTCTGTGAGTTGATTTTTCTTTAAATAATTTTAACTTTATTAATTAAATTCACAATATTTTGTTTGATGTTTCCAGTTGCTTCTTTAGCAGTGAGTCTGTCCTGACATCTAGCGGAAATCGGAGTAAATTCAACTTCACTCAGTGTCGTCATCTGTTGGCTCTTTTATGAACCTTACAGTTAATGTTTTGATGTTAATAAAATTGATTTCTGTGAATAATAACTAATTTAATACAACTTGTGTAAAAAGCTTTAAATACTAGGTAGTTTCAGTTTTTCTATTTTAGGGAATTCGGTATCCAACAACCTGCTTAAATAGTACGTTAGCGCCATCTAGTATCGAATAGCGGCCAAGTGTGTTATAACTTTCAGTTTTTTAAGTAATGTATGAAGTATTTTCGTGATGATAATATTGACACTTAAAAATGGATTAACCAATAAAAAAACATAATTATATTTTTTAAATATATTCTTTTACATTTTCTAGGCTAGATCTGTTTTTAAAAGAATGAAAAGATCTTTCTATCATCTTCATCGTGTCATCTAAAAATAGATCACAATTTCGATTAAAAAGCACAAAGCTGAAAACAAAATCATTAAGTGGAAAGCTGAAAACAGATACAATATTCATAAATAACTGAATACAGTCCCACCAACACTGTCAATGTACACGGAGTAAATTCACCTGAAACACAATAAAATTTAATATTAACAACTTGTTCATATTACTCATTACTTTTTGTCTTTACTCTTACTGTGTGGCAGCATACATTTATGTGACCATCGCTACTCTACCCGTGGGTATCGTAAGACAGAGACTATATATTTTACAGACACAGGTCCGTGGAGGACTTAACAGTTTGCTGGGACTCCGGCACGCCGTGCAGAAGTAGGAACGTGGTTTTTATTCAATAAGAGTCTGACACTCTCTCTTGCCTCATCCGGGCGGACCTGGACCTTTCAAACTGGGTTCTCCAACCTGTCTACCAAGCGTGGTAATATAGATAACTCCTTTTATGTAAAGAAAGAAGCTCATCAGTGGACTGTCAGGAGCTGACGATGGTGTTAGCGAATATTCATTTTTTAAAAGTCAAAGTCAAAATTATTTATTTTAACTCGTCGAGCACTGTCAATATAGACACAATTAAAGAACAATAGGTTGCGGTCACCGGTGACCGCTTGGTATTTGACAGTTTAATTAGGTAGTCCAAAAAGGCAAGTTCAACCGTCAACAAAAAATTTTAAAGTGAAGTTTTTTGCTCATTCCAAAGTGTAGATTCCTGTGGAGGCGAAACCCGAGCAAGAAGTGCGTATCTGTGTGCACTTTAAATAATATAACATTACGCTAATTGTTCTAGATAGAGGTAGACAGAAGTGTTGTAACAATACCAAACTTTATGTCAGCTATGTTATAAGTCCATGTGTCTGAATTTTATTTTATATTTCCTATAGGCTTGCTGTTACCGATCTATTTTTTTAAATAAATGGTTTATTTAAACAATAATAGTCGGTAAATTTTTTACCGAGTGCCTAAAAGTTAAAAAGATAATTTTTGGACAACAGAATCAAACTCAAATACTGTTTTTTGGCTCATTTGTTGTCTGGGAAGATATTTTTTTTAATTTTTATACATTTTTTACTTTATATGGGCCACTTTTTTTTGGAACGAACTGCTACCTAAACCACAATCTGCACTTACCGACAGACTGACGAACAATAACAATTTTGCTAATTATTTTTTTTTTCTTTCAATTCTCATTTTTGGTACTTAGATTTTTCGATACAAATAAGAATGTTTATAGATTTCAATATCACGTTCATAGTGATTTGTGGCGTGCAGATGGCAATACTGTGGTCACAAAGAGATTTGTTTCGAGTTTCCTTGAGAGTACCGCTAAGGAGTGAAATTCCTTGCCAGAATCTGAGTTTCTAGAATAGACTCAAAATTTCGAGTTATTCATCGTTTTATTGTTTCTAGTTAATGTATGATTGCATTATTATTAAGACAGCCATTTCTTATATGAAAAGTTTTCCAATAAGATGATTTTAGTAAAGACTAATTGCAAAAAAATAATATTGAAAACGCCACGTTTGAAATACGTAGATACTTACTTAATCCTGAACAAATAATTTTGTCTATCCGTCTATCTGTCTGCCTAGAAAATATATTATATGTGGATGACAATAAAACATTTCAATTTATTTATGGCATAAGCCGGTAAACGAGGAGACGGTTCACCTGATGGTAAGCAATCGGCGTCGCCCATGAACACCTGAAACACCAGAGGCGTTACAAGTGCGTTACCGGCCTTTTAGGGGTTAGGAGTTTGAGGATCGTTAGGGATTCAGGAATTGAGGAGATTGGGGAAGGGGAAGAGGGTAATTGGGCCTCCGGTGACCTCACTCACACGACGAAACACAACGCAAGCGTTGCTAAACGTCGGTTTTCTGTGAGGCCGTGGTATCACTTCGGTCGAACGGCCCATTCGTGCCGAAGCTTGGCTCTCCCACACTTAAATTTCTAATTCTAATCGACTTCAAACAAAGAGGAAATTGAAGTCAGTTTTTGAAACAAAGTTTACAAAACCAAATTTACGGTACCCTAACTGTACGATTTAGTTACGCTTTTGAACAAATCTATTAATAAAAACGACGAACAGTAAACACTATTGCGCAGAAACTGGTTGATAGGAATCGTGGACGGTAGTAATGCAGTCACTCGTTGATATCAGGGTTTGATCTCATGGTCAGACAATGTGTTGTTGGTGATTTTTGAGTATAAATTAATCTATACAGATAAATAAAATTGCAGTCATGAACAGCCTATAAATGCTCACAGCTGAACAAAGCCTCTTCTCACAAGGATAAGGTTTGAGCATTAATCACCACGCTTGCTCAATGCGGGTTGGTAAAAAAATGGAGTATCTATTTGTAATATTAAAATATCCGCTTTTTACTTTCTTGTATATGAATATACATACGATACTTATACTAAAATATTTTGACTGGATTAGCCAGTACAAATAGACAGACAAACTTCTTCTGGAATGACTGAACCGATTATGACAGGACTTTCATTGGCAGGTAGATAACGTACTTAAGAGTAACATAAGTTCCATTTAATTTGGCAAATTTAAACAAAAAGAAACATAGGTACATAACATCACGCCTTATACTCCCGAATTTATGTTGTTAGTTCATGTAATAGGCGGTGAGCCTATTCAAACTCAAACTCAAAAGCATTTATTTCAATTAAACCATAATTTGGTACTTTTGAAACGTCAACAATACCGCCTATTGCTATATACCGGCCATAGACTTCGTGCTACTACTGAGATATTTTTAAAACCCAGTTATATTTTGCCCGACCCCGGAATCGAACCCGAGACCCCTTGCTCGACAGTCGCACTTGCGATCACTTTGCCAACGACGCAATCTCAAATCAGCAGCAGAGGCAACAACAAAAATATTTATTTCCTAAAATTATGATTCTACGTGGACAATGAACAGTAAATAATAATTATCAATGAATATTTTTCGTTTACAGTCTAATACATATACATAAGTAGTCTGTCACAGATATTTAAATCCATGAAACATACAGCCCATTTTATAACATAGCATATTTATGTCAATCTTATGTACATCGAAAAACTGACCTCGGTGAACATAGCTTGACCAAACAGCGGTCAGTTAACACAGTTGTAACTCAGGAATGAACTCTTCTACACAACACATACTTAAATTAATTTACATTAGTCACATAAGAAGCTAGTAAATGACACAGAATCAAAATATACTCAAATATATATTATCTAAAAATAGAATCAAAAACGTGTGGGAGAGCCATGCTTCGGCACGAATAGGCCGGCTCGACCGAAGTGATACCACGGCCTCACAGAAAACCGACGTGAAACAACGCTTGCGTTGTATTTCGTCCTGTGAGTGGGGTTACCGTAGGCCCAATTACCCAATCCCTGAATCTCCAACTATTCTCAAATTCTGAAAAGGCTGGCGTTACAAGTACGCTTTTGGTGTTCCAGGTGTCCATGAACGACGCCGATTGCTTACCATCAGGTGATTCGTCTAGTCGTTTACCGGCTTATACCATAAAAATAAACACTTCACCAAAACCCTCATTCGACAGTTATTTTACCATTTACACTACCATAAACCCTCAAAAACCTCCATTGAAATTGCACCACCAAAAAGTCATGGACAGATTCCTGTCTACCAAGACTTAGCCGTTCCACCAAAAAGTTTTATAATAACATTATTAACCACACAATAAATGGGGGGAAAGGGGGGGGAGTAAATAAGCTTCAAGGGGATGAATACATAATGAAATTTCGCCCCTAGCGTCCGTTAATCAAAAACTGGTGCAGAGACGGCGAAATACGTAAGAAAATGGAAATTTTCCAACCCTCCTTTTTCCTGTTAGAGTCTACCCCCTAAGTAGGGGGAGGTCGGACAATCTCCCCCCACCGGGTGGCTGCTAGAGAGGCGACGGCTTTTTGTTTTAGATAAGATTTTTTTAGGTATTGTTAATGTAAATATACTTTATAATTACATAATGTTTGTAATTGCTGTCCGTTTCTAGGAAAGAGTGTTTAAATGTCATTTCGCCTCGTTATTGCCGAAATGGGCGTAAGTCACACGACACGACAAACAAGTAAAACGTTTCGGTTTCGATTCCCGGGTCAGGTATGCTTATTATTGGAGTTTGTGAAATTTTCTAAGTAGGTAAAAGATAAAATGGAGTCCGTCATCGTACCCGATCAGCGTAACAGTATATTATAATACGAGTAGATACTATTGGGTAATGTTTTGTATTAAATACACCATGGAAACTATTTTAGTTTTCGTCTAGAAGTAAAATGGTTGTCTCAATAATACAATAGTTAAAAAAAATATTTAAAACTAAA